AAACTTCACATGGAACAGCATCCGGATTATCGATACAGGTACGTCGGTATTAGTTGCAAGTGCGGGTTGGTTGGAAATCAGTTGAACACCACTGTCGTTTAGACCAAGGCCGAAGCGGACGTGCATCGTCGACGGCAAACGGTTGCGAATTTCGGAGTACAAAGAACTAATGAGGGCGAAGCGCGGTGTATGGTTTTCTGCCAGCCGAGTGTCTCAGAACTCTGAAACTCAGTCAAGCAAAGAGTTTCCGTTCTGCGCCGCTGATTCGAAAATGAATTCGGCTGCGGTCAGTCCATGAACACCAGCAGACGACGAATCGCGAAAAAAGGAACACAGCGATTACAGCAAGGTGCCGTTTTGATGCTTCATGAAAAATTGCTGCCCGTTCTTGGACTACAACTAGATGACAGGCACGCAGAGATTTCGTCGATTCAGCTGCAGCGCATCCTCAGTGTGGACACTTTCTGAATATTATTGTGTCCTGTTGTGGGGGGGGGGTTGTTTCGATTTGCACGGCTCCCTTCTTAATGCAACCGCCTCTTGTGAAGTTCATCGTTGGCCCCATAGTAGTTTGTCGACGGCTGAGGTGTTGTGACTCGGCAGCGGAAAGCGACGCGGTGTCACTGCCGTCGTAAATGTCTACATGATTTTCCTGTTATTGCTCGTGGGCGCGCCGCCCGGCTTGTATGCACAAACCTAGTGGTTTGGGTTTGTCCACCGTTGCTGAACACCCTTCGGTTCACTTTTCACCGTTTCACGTCCCTGTAGCCGTTGCTCCCTACAGTAAGACTGTAGCTATTGGCCGGTATATCCAACGTCAGCTGTTGCAAACGTGACGATGCTCTCCTGTTTCACAGCACCCTTTCCGCCAACGACCATTGTGATCTTTTGTTTCTAGGTTATTGCGTGCCATGAAAGTTTTTGTACATAAAAAGCTTGAAGATTGCCACAGTGGTCAAAAATTAAATCCATCTTTGAACCTGCATCTGTAAAAATGTACTAAACCATTGCTAACAACAACGCCAGTTTCAAGTGTTTCTGTTTCGAGCCGCCTTCGGCAGATAACTGATGGCATAAATGCACGCTGCATGCCCGTTGAAATGTCGCGACAGCCCGTCAAACTGCGTTTTTCAGCGTTACCATCCTCTGCGATCATTTACATTCAAGGTTAGATGACCCCCACTTATTTTCTTTGCTCCTCCCAGCTTGATGATTATAAGCTGTAAAGGAACCTTTCTTTTTAATGTGGTTCGCTGAAATTTCAGCTTATTTCAAATATGTTATTGGAATTTCTTCGTTGTTAAATAGACCTCTGAGACCTTCTCCCCCAGGTCGCGAAGCTTCGGGGTAGCAATTCAAAACGGCTGCCCTTCGATTGCGACATTTTTCTGCTGTACTCATATGATTCATACTGAGTACTCGCTGTTTTCCTCCGAAGTCTCTGTGGTCTCGTACCAGGAATACTGCCGTAAAATACTTCATTCTCTGTCTCATCATTTTTCTTTCTCATGTGAGTTGCATATAAAGTATACGGAGAGCAGTGGCTCTTGAAAATTCCTGGATAACGAATAAGGTCTTGCCCTAGAACGATAAACTGTTACGCAATAAGCGTTTTTGTTATCCACTCTGACTGTGATATAAAGATTTAAAGGATAAACCCGACTTACCAACCGCATAGTGCAACAGCGACGTGCAGAGGAATCTTAAGGTACGGTAGCTGTTTTACATACCGGGACCTCTTTATTGAATGACGAGCTTTGCTGCTTAAGGAATTTACTTTGAGAGTGTTGTTTTTGTGACCGTTACCCTGAGCCGTTTGAATAAGGAGTAAACAGGCGGCTTTTAAACTTTCGAACATTGTTACTATAACGTGTCATTTTCGGAATTATGGAAATAATAGTCCTAGTTCAATCGTAAATCTGCTCGTATCTTTTTCGTAATGATGAAAATATAACTGTCGTTGCGTACAGAACAGAAGAAGGTATACTGATTGACAGAATTCCTAACTATCGGAAAGTAAAATATACCGTTAGACGTTAGGTATAACGTTTCGCGATGCGCACGCCGTATAGCATTACGTATTGTCATATAGCCACATCTCCATTACCTTCGGTATTTCATAAATTATATGATTTGAGCAACGGCGGCAAGACCTAATGATTCAGTGACCAATTCGTTTTCCCCTTGTAATCAGATTTATTCGAAGTAAAAGAGAAAAACAAAAGTGCATATTTTGTTAAAAATGTCAGTTAACGAATCGGAACTGCGAGACTAAACCCGCTTCGAACTATCGTCGATACGGCCACGGACCAACTGTCGAAGCTGAAAATGTCCATACGTTCAGTACGGACAGTTACGCGTTAGCTACTGCTGTTGGAGATAGATATGACCTAAGAAAAAAATTTTAACAGCAAAGGAATAAAACAAATAATAAATACGACTTGGAGAATTCATTTGTTTTTTCTGTGCTAAGTATTCTTAAGGTTCCTAAATTTTTGATTCAGTGATTTCGAGCATAAATAAAGGCTGATGATTGATGTTAAAACGGCTTTATTGCGCAAATACTCGACGTCTTCTGCCGTTGTGTAACCGAAACGTTCACTACTGCTGTAATAAGGCCTTGTCGGGCATCGACGATCAGTCTTATTTTGCGCTCAATACCACTGAATCGAAACTTCAAATAATAAATATTTAGATTTCATATAAATATAAAAACTTCAAATTTATATTAAAAATCAACACAGGCAATGAATTAAATTTAACACTTAATTTAAATGTACCTTTACTGACTAACTATAATTTCATTCAGTTGTCACGTGGGGTATAACGGCCGGCCGAAAGACGTTCACATCA